GTCCGACTCTTCGTGATCCCATGGACCAGAGCACGCCAGGCACTCCTGTCTTCCTCTGCCTCTCACAGTTTGGTCAAACTCATGTTTGTAGCTTCGAGAACACTGTCCAACCATCTCGTCCTCTGTCGTCCCTTTCTCCTTGTGCCCTCCATCTTTCCCAACATCAGGGTCTTTTCCAGGGAGTTTTCTCTTCTCATGAGGTGGCCAAAGTATTGGAGCCTCAGCTTCACGATCTGAACAGGGGCAAAGTGATTGCTGTTTATATACATTTCTGAAGGCCTGGGCCATTCCCACTCCCAATGTGATTGGCTGTCTAAACTTCCAAGCTGCGAATCATGGCTCTGAGTTTAAGGGCCAATGGCAGAGGCCCAAATGTTCTGTGATTGGATATCATGTATCAAATCAGAACACAGAAGCTCAGAATCCTTAGTCCAGACTCAAACTCAGGCAAACACAGACCGCTGATACAAAACGCCCCTCACACCAAAAGCAACAGTCCCTTAAGCAACAGAAAAGTCAAAAGAAACACCTTCATTTTTTAAAAAAAAGAGGGAGAAAGGGATCTTAATGGACACCATGGGGGGTGTCTCATAGCATCCTGGTGCCCATGACACCACACTAGGGACCTCAGATGGAGAGTCATTCCAGGGAATTCTGAGGAAGACAAAATCTTGGCCACTAGCCCAGAGAAAGCACCGATAGGTTTTTCCCCCGCCCTCAAAATTCTTTTTTTTATTCAAAATTAAAACAAAACATATTATCCAGAAACATATCATCCTTATTTTCCCCCATTTTCCCTCCCTCCCCTCTCTCTCCCCACAGAACCCACCCCCCCACCCCCGACTTCCCTCAGTTCCAGTCTTTGATTTCTCTAAAAATGCTGTTTTCTGCATGTTACACAGTTGTATAGATCCTCAAACTATTTAGCTGATTATTATCAATAAAAAGTTTGTGAATGTTTATTCAAAACCAGCCATGGAGTCCAGTTCACTTTGTTGTGTCTTCAGATAGGAATTAAAAAACCTTTTAATCCGGGTTAGCGCCATCGCCGAATGGCGGACTCCCTCCGAGCTCCGGAGGGAGCCTGCTCGGCAGGGGCTGGAAAGTAAGGTTTTTAAATATCTTCTTTCTTTTGTCTTTTTTCTTTGTATTTTTATATTTTTGGAAACTTTAATAAACATGATTTAAAAAAAAAAAAAAAAAAAAACCTTTTAATGAGGGTGAAAGAGGAGAGTCCAAAATACGGTCTGAAGCTCAACATCAAAAAAACGAAGATCATGGCCACTGGTCCCATCACCTCCTGGCAAATAGAAGGGGGAGAAAGGGAGGCAGTGAGAGATTTTACTTTCTTGGGCTCCATGATCACTGCAGTCATGGACAGCAGTCACGAAATTAAAAGACGCCTGCTTCTTGGGAGAAAAGCAATGACAAACCTAGACAGCATCTTAAAAAGCAGAGACATCACCTTGCCAACAAAGGTCTGTATAGTTAAAGCTATGGTTTTCCCAGTAGTGATGTATGGAAGTGAGAGCTGAACCATAAAGAAGGCTGATCGCCAAAGAATTGATGCTTTTGAATTCTGGTGCTGGAGGAGACTCTTGAGAGTCCCATGGACCGCAAGAAGATCAAACCGATCCATTCTGAAGGAAATCAGCCCTGAGGACAGATCCTGAAGCTGAGGCTCCAATACTTTGGCCACCTCATGAGAATAGAAGACTCCCTGGAAAAGACCCTGATGTTGGGAAAGATGGAGGGCACAAGGAGAAGGGGACGACAGAGGACGAGATGGTTGGATAGTGTTCTTGAAGCTACCAGCATGAGTTTGACCAAACTGTGGGAGGCAGTGGAAGACAGGAGTGCCTGGCGTGCTCTGGTCTATGGGGTCACAAAGAGTCAGACACGACTAAATGACTAAACAACAACAACAACATGGAGCCGTACTAGTCAAAGACCTTCATTACCCTGTTCACAGATCTCTTTTGCAACCCATCGTTCGGCTCTGGCTTAGAGGCATTTTGGGCTGTTTGAAATAGTGCTGGGATTAGCCCTCATTCTAAATCCGTGTTCGATCCAAGCATATTAGAACACCTCTGGCTGTGTTTGGATGTTAGGGATCACAGCAGTGGCTGTTTGACACAGCGGTAGCCAGCAAAGGACAGAGGGGTGCCCTTAGCTGAGAAAGTGCCAGCCTTTAGCAGTCTGAATTAATTCGGTTCTCAAGTTAATGGGGGAGCAGCCTAGTTCTGAACGAGTTGTTTGTACATGACCTCCTTTGGAGGTTGGCTGGGAAAAGAGGAGAGAAAATATAAAACCTTTGTTACTCATGCAGGCCTTTAAATGAGATTACCCCAAGGTAGATTTGTTGTGCAGCTCTTTCTGCCGGGATCAGAAGGGCACCGGGGGTTCACACTACCCACATCAACACTGGGAGAGGGGAATAAATTAAGTCCACTCTCAGTTAAAGGCATACCTGCATAATTTGCACTTTCTGAAACAGTGTTCAAACTGAAACATTGCAAAGTTTCAAAATTCGCATTTCTCAGAATTCTCAAGACAAGCAATTGTGTGTGTAAGAATGCTTATGCAAATGAAAACAATATACAAAAATACATTACGATAAGCAAAACTGCATACAGTTAAATACAGGATAAATTTGCACTAAAAAGGCTGCTAAATTGTCATGGGGACTTGTTTTGTTTTGAACAACTTGGAAGCTGATGTGGAAATATGGAGAAGTGAATTCAAGAGTGGGAGAATGAGAAATTACTAGAAGCTGAAATTGACAGGTTTCCCAACCCCCTACGAGGCAAATACTGCAAGCCCCATATGCTTCTCCAGCTTGGACAAAATGTGAGCCATAAGAAAAAGAGAATCATTTCCAACCTTACCCATTTCTCCTGGGCAATCACTTTCCCCCGCCTTTGAATTACACTTTCCCAGTGAGCGGCTTAAGCACCTGTCTGGCAAGTGGTGGAAATCGGAAACAAAGGGAAGGAGAGAGATTGTAAGAGGTGGATGACAGACCCTCCAAGTGTCCTTATTTTTCAGGGACAGTCCCAGATTTACAGAAGCCACCCGTTTCTGATTTGATCCACAAATGTCCTCCTTTTCCTTAAAAGGTAAGGGGACCCTGACCATTAGGTCCAATCGTGAATGACTCTGGGGTTGCGGCGCTCATCTCACTTTATTGGTCGAGGGAGCCGGCATACAGCTTCCGAGTCATGTGGCCAGCATGACTAAGCCGCTTCTTTTTTTTTTTTTTTTTTTTTTAAATAAATTTTTATTAATTTTCCAAACACAAAATAAAAAGACACACAATACACAATACACCGACATACAAACATATAAACATGTATAATTTCATAACCATTTTTTCATAAACCTTGCTTTCCGGACTTCCCCATACCTCCCCTTTTCTGCATCCTTGTTTTATATTTTTTCAGCAACTCCTCAGTCAACTAATTATTCAATTCATTTTCTTTTAAATTCTTCTAATATTGTTAATTACAGCTGCAATTCTCTGTTTCCCTACCCCTTGACATTTTAACATTCCTGAATTTTACAACAAGTTCTAAGATAAACTTTGAA